CAATTCTAATAGTAGTACAATCCATTCTACTAGTCATACAATTCATTCTACTAGTCATACAATCCATTCTAATAGTCATACAATCTATTCTACTAGTCATACAATCCATTTTACTAGTCTTACATTTCATTCTACTAGTCATACATTCCATTTTACTAGTCATACATTCCATTCTACTAGTCATACAATCCATTCTATTACTCATAAAAGCCATTTTACTAGTCATACAATCCATTCTACTATTCATACATTCCATTCTACTAGTCATACATTCCATTCTACTATTCATACAATCCATTCTTCTAGTCATATATTCCATTATACTAGTCAAACAATCCATTCTACTAGTCATACAATCCATTCTACTAGTCATACATTCCATTCTACTAGTCATACAATCCATTCTACTAGTCATACATTCCATTCTACTAGTCACACATTCCAATCTGCAAGTCATATATTCCATTCTACTAGTCATACAATCCATTCTACTATTTATTCAATCCATTCAACTAGTCATACATTCCATTCTATTAGTCATACATTCCATTCTACTAATCATACATTCCATTCTACTAGTCATACATTCCATTCTACTAGTCATACATTCCATTCTACTAGTCATACATTCCATTCTACAATTCATACATTCCATTCTACTAGTCATGCAATATTCATTAATGCTACAATATATATTTGTCTTTTATATTTTAGTTTATTTGTTATGTTTATGTTATATCCGTTTTTTCCTTTATCTGTTATGTTTATGTCATATCCATTTTTTCCTTAATCTGTTATGTTTACGTTATATCCGTTTTTTTCCTTTATATGTTATGTTTACGTTTTATCCGTTTTTTCCTTTATCTGTTATGTTTATGTTATATCCGTTTTTACCTTTATTTGTCTTTATGTTGTATATCTCTATTTGTCTCTTTGTCTATTTTTCCATTAGTTTACATGCCTATTTGTCTATTTGTCTATTTGTTCCTTAGTGTCCATGTCTATTTGTCTATTTTTCCATTAGTTTCCATGTATATTTGTCTATTTGTCCATTAGTTTCTATGTCTATTTGTCTATTTGTGCCTTAGTTTCCATGTCTATTTGTCTATTTGTCCATTAGTTTCTATGTCTATTTGTCCATTAGTTTCCATGTCTATTTGTCTATTTGTCCATTAGTTTCTATGTCTATTTGTCTATTTGTTCCTTAGTTTCCATGTCTATTTGTCTATTTACCCATTTGTTTCTATGTCTATTTGTCTATTTGTCTCTTAGTTTCTATGTCTATTTGTCAAATAGTTTCCATGTCTATTTGTATATTTGTCTATTTGTCCTTTAGTTTCCATGTCTATTTGTCTTATTTATCAATAAGTTTCCTTGTCTCTTTTTCTATTTGTTTTTTAGTTTCCAGGTCTATTTTTCTATTTGTCCATTAGTTTCCATGTCTATTTGTCAATTTGTTTATTAGTTTCGATCTCTATTTGTCTATTTGTCCAATAGTTTCCATGTCTTTTTGTCTATTTGTCCATTAGTTTCTATGTCTATTTGTCTTTTTGTCTGTAGGTTTATTTGCCTGTCTATTAGTCTTCCTAATCCTAAGTCGGTGTCTTTCCAACCTTTTAAGTAGAATCTATATTAAATATTTCACCACAAGATAAACCCTAATATCTGGGCATAAACAATACCTTTCTCAACAAAGGTTTAGAATTGGGGGGGACATCTAACACTAATATTCCCCACCTGTCCACCCAATTGGGCAGTGTGTTAGTCAAACAAACAATAAGATGGAAGTAATGGTGACCATTTAACAGATAATTATTTTAAATATATATATACACCCACATCGATCCAACCAACCTACATTTTCTACATTTTGAGCAATATTTTCATTAATTGGTTTTTACATTCAGATGAGATTTTTAAAATTTTTATTAATCAATTTTATGGAGATTGGAGAGATATTTCCAAAATCCAAATATTTGTTTTCGTAATTAGCATTGCGAATATTTTTGTTAAATTGTCAACAAATTTTAATCAGAGGTCCAAACTTTTAAGGACAAACGCTTGGTCGTGCAATTTAAGATATCTTTTCAGGAAATGACCGCCACGGTATTAGGTCGAAAGTAATTAAAATAAAAACAGTTTTCCAGTTTTAAAGATAAAAAATGACAAAGCAACACAGAATATTACCGTAATCATTATTTGTAAATTTGTAGAATACAGAAATTTACATTATACAAAAATTAACGTCGATAAGTCACTCATTTTTTTCTTCTCAAATTTGAAAATAGCATTTGTTTAAAATGCCCCGGATTTTCATTGAGGAATTATGATTGGGTTCAGTGTATTACAAGTTTACATTTTGTGTATTTTCATCCTTAAACTTTAATCTTTAGATCTTTAGATCTTAAATATACGCTTCATTGACTTTACATTCACGCTAGACTTTACCATCAGTTTGTCAGTCTGTCAGTCTGTCGGTCTGTCAGTTTGTCGGTCTGTCAGTTTATCAGTCTGTAAGTTTGTCAGCCTGTCAGTTTGCCAGCCTGTCAGTTTGTCAGCCTGTTAGTTTGTCANTTGTAAGTTTGTCTTCTTTCCCTAAAACTGGAAATTTAGTTTCTTTATATTTGCAAAATTATTTAATAGTTCATTAAAAAACTTTATCAAGGTCAAAAATAAAAGTCGATTTTCAGATCTTTTCATATTTAGATTGATCTTTTAGATTTAGGTCGTTATTAGTGTCTTATCTTTTGTAGTTGAATTACTTGTATGGTGCATTCTTAGCCTGTAGCCATACTTAAATATTTAACAGATTTCATCACCCTTACCCTATTATATTGACCGAAGGTTGGGTTTAGCAGAAAGTGATATAGGGGGGCTAGAGGGCCAAACACAGCGGCTAAACCAGACTAGAGGGCCTAGCATCACGGCTATAACAAACTAGAGGGCCTAGCACCACGGCTATAAAAAAACTAGAGGGCCTAGCACCACGGCTATAACAGACTAGAGGGCCTAGCTCCACGGCTATAACAGACTAGAGGGCCTTGCACCACGGCTGTAACAGACTAGCACCGCTGCTATAACAGACTAGAAGGCCTTGTACCACGGTTGTAACAGACTAGCATCGCGGATATAACAGACTAGAGGGTCTTGCACCACGGCTGTAAAAGACTAGCACCGCTGCTATAACAAACTAGAAGGCCTTGCACCATAGCTGTAACAGACTAGCACCACGGCTAAAACATTCTAGAGGGCCTTGCACCACGGCTGTTACAGACTAGCACCGCTGCCATAACAGACTAGAGGGCCTAGCACGACGCCCGACAGCTATAACAGAGGGTGCAGATCGATCGCGTTAGCCGGACACTTTAAAGACATGCAAAGAAGAATTTTCACTTCTCCGCCCCATCCTCCCCTTCCCTCTCCTGGCTCTTGTTATGCATTCAGTCTAAATATTTTCATCTCCATTATATAAATATATTTAGTAAGAATCTGTAGTATTTAGTAGAGGGTGTACCCTGATTTGAGAAAAAAACGGCGCATTGTGGCAGTTTAAAAAAATAATTTATATTACATATATAGAATGGGTTAAAAACAAATATTTTGTTATTTGCAATTATATACGATTTTTTGGGACACTCTGGTACTATTCTGTTGTATTGTTACAGGCCAGGGAGACTATTTATATATTTCTAGGTGGTGATGCCAGCTGTCAATCAACAAATACAGGGTGGTCAGATAAATATATGTAGGGGAGGAGGGGGGGGGGCTTCACTGGGATTGGTTAAAGGGAGTGTTCGCGAAAAATGAAATATTAATTATTATGTATGAAATATATTATGAAATATTAACTAAATACGAATGCGTCGAAAAATAATCGATGACTATTGTTTGTAATATCTGAATGATTTGTTTGAAATTAAATTGATTTGTTTACGATCCGAGTTGAATGTTGCTTCTTTCTGAATTTGTATGGACACTACGTTCTTCGGTATTAGTCGTTTTTAACAATTTTCTCCTTTATAGACGCAACAGATAGAAGTAAGATTAGTAGCGATCAAAAGCGCTTTTTTATCGCATTAAGCCTATACGCCCTTTCATTTTCGCGAACACTCCCTTTAAAGGGGGTAAATGTCTGCACGGTTGCTTACTTAGATCATATTTGCAGAAACGGAGTCGAGATAAAAATAACTTAATACTCGCCTAAAACTTTATAGTATATTTATATTTTAAACGTTTGCCTTTGGATGAAACAGAATTCATAGTTTGAAATATGTTTGGTCAACGCTATTAGAATCTGAGAGTTTCACAAAATTAATTCAACACAATTTAAAATATCTTATGATATATTTTATGAATTAACCCATATAAGAGCAGATTTCTGCTACAGAAACAGTAGAGGATCTTGTCAGAATTAACCACTTTTCAATCTGAAAAAATGAATTTATAGTGAAATCGATCTTTAAACGAAAGGTCTCTGGAAATTTTACGATTGGCAGTAGCTTTAATACATCAAAGTTTGATGGAGAACAAAAATGTCAAGTACGTATGTTAAAATATTCGCTGTATCCATTGCCGACATGTGAACATTCATTCACTCATTATTAAACAGAACAGTGAACTGCATAGTAAGTTAAATAAGTTTTAAAATTATTTGATTTTGAGTTTACCCTAGGCCTACAATATTTCAGAATTATGTAAACCATCATTCACACTGGACTACATGTCCAGAAACCTCTACTTTTATGGCTTTTTTGGCTAATGTAAACAAGCTAATTATTTTTGATTTAAAACTCTTTCCTATTTTAAATTGCTTTAAAGGGAGTGACCGGCTATGTAAGGTAGTTGAACTGAGTATGCAGTGTTGTGAAAAACTTCTTTCGGATTCATTTGAGACATATTAAGCTTTTTAAAGATCGGTAAATCCTGAGTTTGAGCGCAAATTCGATGTTCAAAACTCCTCCTTCGGGGGTGGATACGTTTTCAGAATTAGTTTTTATTTCAGAATTATGTAAACCATCATGCACACTGGACTACATGTCCAGAAACCTCTACTTTTATGGCTTTTTTTCGGCTAATGTAAACCAGTTAATTATTTTGGATTTAAAATTCTTTCCTATTTTGAATTGCTTTAAAGAAAATGCCACTTTATAGGAATAAAATAATAAGAAAATTCCTTCATTGTCATTTTTGCAGGTTTTAACTTTTCTACATCGATGTTAAAATTTACTGAATAAAGTCCTGTGCTAAAGTGTGGCATTTTATTTCAACAACTTAATTTTAATAGCTTTTGAGATTATATTTAAAAATACTTAAAATGATGTTGTTTCTAAGCCGGGGTAATAAACCCTGAAATCCCTGAAATTCACTGCAAACTTAACAGAATTAAAGAGAAGGTGAAATATATGCGACACAATTCAAAACATTTTGTTCTTTTCAATAAGATTGGACTTTACTATAGTTTGTCGTGAATTAGCCGCCAATTTCCACCAATGATGAATATTGCAATAATTTTAACAGTTTCTCCTGGTGGAGTTATTGACGATAAATTTGTTTGTTTAGCTGAGTTTATTTGTAGCTAATATAGAATATTCAAATATATTACTACTATACCGTTTATCCAGTAAGATTAACAGGGATATTTTAACCAAAACACATGATGACTGAACCCTGATTGGATCAGGCGCTAATGGAATCGTTACACAAGTGTGTTAGAGGTTACCAAAAAATAATATCCAATCAATATATGAAATATATTTGTCGAGACATAAAAGATTTAAGTATGTCCCGAACCCAGAAACTGCATGCATTAGAATAAATGTAATATAAGTTTTGATCTATTATTCAAAATCAATAAAACATTTTCATACGTACTTCAATGTTAAAAACGTACACACTCAACTCTGGACTTTAGAAGAATTAGGAAACAGGTAAATTTAGGCCAAGAACAAACTTAATTAAAGTTAAATATTAAAAACATTAAACTTTGTGTTCTTTTCCAAAGCTCTTGAAAAAGAATAGTTATGCTTGAAAATGTACAAATATGATAACGAAAAATTTACTAGATCATATCACGGGGATTAATGTGTTCGGGATTTATTGTCAGAGAGACTTTACTTTCATTGCAGATTTTTAGAATTTTTCTTAAATAAATTTTTTTTTTTGGATTTTAAATGATAGATCAAAACGTGAAACTATCTATACCGAGCTGAAAACTTTAGAATGAGATATCCTTAATCCCGATTACTTAATCTGAGTATCCAATGGACACACTTTTGATTTTCTTTTTAAACCGTTCTTTCTTGGGCATAGTATGGAAAAATAAAAAACCGGTTTTTTAAAAATTAGAAAGTCCTTCCCGTTTCTGTATATTTATCTTAAATGGCGCGCAAAATTTAAAATTTATCGGCTTCATATTTGCAACTTTAATTGGTTGAATTTTACACACTTTTCAGGATACAAGTACAAGATTAGATTAGTCTCGATATTAAGAAAAAGAGAGGATGAAGCATTAATCTCAATATCAACCATTCTAAAGTTTTCAGCTCAGGATATACTTTAAATATTTGGTTTCGGTAAAAGCCACAACTTAAATTGTTCCTTGTTCTGAAAAATGTGGTATAAAGTATGTTTATTTGTGTGTTCCTTGTTCTGAAAAATGTTGTATAAAGTATGTTTATTTGTGTTCCTTGTTCTGAAAAATGTTGTATAAAGTATGTTTATTTGTGTGTTCCTTGTTCTGAAAAATGTTGTATAAAGTATGTTTATTTGTGTGTTCCTTGTTCTGAAAAATGTTGTATAAAGTATGTTTATAAAAGTTAAAGAATCCCTTTAAAAGTATGGAGGCAGATTAGTAGATATGTCAGAGGAAAGTGAGGAAGTGTCTTTCTCATGGCTTTTCCGGTCAAGTATACATATTTATATCTACTTCCGGTTTCACGATTGATTTATTACACACTTCCGGCTAAACAATGAACAAGGAAATTGATACATTTATAAATAATGATTGATAATTAGAAATTAGAAAAATAGAGATTAGGAGTATCAAAATTTGTAATGCAAAATTGGTGTATGGGGGGGAGAAGAAAGGTTTNAGATAGATAGATAGATAGATAGATAGATAGATAGATAGATAGATAGATAGATAGATAGATAGATAGATAGATAGATAGATAGATAGATAGATAGATAGATAGATAGATAGATAGATAGATAGATAGATAGATAGATAGATAGATAGATAGATAGATAGATAGATAGATAGATAGATAGATAGATAGATAGATAGATAGATAGATAGATAGATAGATAGATAGTTAATGAAAATTATTAGATTACCTTTTAGTTGAAAGTGCACTCAGTGTAGAATGACAATTTTTAATGAAGGTTAATATCTTAATTACTTTGTGACCTAATTTGTTACCATAGATAGATAGATAGATAGATAGATAGATAGATAGATAGATAGATAGATAGATAGACAGATAGATAGATGAATATTAAACGTTTATCTTTTCATGTTAATCAGCTATGTCAGCTATTAAACCTTGTCAATAAGATAATATGTCAGCTATTAAACCTTGTCAATAAGATGATATGTCAGCTATTAAACCTAGTCAATAAGATGATATGCCAGCTATTAAACCTAGTCAATAAGATGATATGTCAGCTATTAAACCTAGTCAATAAGATGACATGTCAGCTATTAAACCTAGTCAAGTAGATGACATGTCATCTATTAAGCTTTTCAATAAGATGACATGGAATTTATTAAACCTAATAAATAAGATGACATGTAAGCTATCAAACCTTGATAATAAGATAACTTTTCAGCTATTAAACTTGTCAACCAGATGACCTGTCAGTGATCAAACTTTGTCAATAAGATGACTTGTCAATAAGATGACACATCAGCTATTAAACCTTGTCAAAACGATGGCATGTCAGCTATTAAAACTATAAGATGACCTGTCATTTGTCAGCTATTAAACCTTGTCAAAAAGATGACCTGTCTGCGGAAAAATAGAATATAACAAAAAAAATTTCCTGTCAGCTCTTTCTAACCTTGTCAGCCAACGAGTATCCTGTTTTAATTAAGCTCCTGAAGGAAGATGATATTTCAAGGTATTTAAATCTCTATTAATACTTGTCATATGGATAATATAAAGGACTTCGAGGGTGAGAATACAGGACTTGGGGAGGGGGATATAAGACATGGAGGGTGGGGGGTGGTACAGGATAGAGGGGCATGGTAGGCATTCAGGAGCAGTCAACAGTAACGGAGACAACAGCAAGGTCGGGTGATGGTGGGGGGAAGGGG